AGAATTGTCGAGATATCGTCTTCAGGAAATGCGCTGATTTCGACTAGGGAGAGCACATGAAGGTGAGAAGGACTGTCAGTCATCATTACTTTTGTGATTGAAATAAAGCGTGGCTAACGTGTGGCTACTAACATCGTAAAGTGAGTAGAAGATTGCGTGTCATGACGCCTGTCAGGAATGCTTAACGTGACTGTTGGTGTGGTGGTAAAGAGACGCCCACGTTTGTTAATGTAGGGTAGTGAGGTGAGAAGGAGTTGATTTTCTGCAAAATAACCCCACTCACTAGCCTGTTCTATACTTCCCGAAGGTGTAATGAAGGTCAAGCATCAATTTTTATCTGAGACCTGCCCCTCCACTCAAAACGCTGCCACACATCACAATGAAAACACATCCTTTAGAAAATCTAAGCGAAGTCAGTCGCTTCCAAGACTATCCTCATTTACTTCCTATAAAGTGAAATTGGACATGATGCCGTATTCCACCTTTAAATCTGCCTATAAAAGGTCTCTCATCGCATTTCAGGATAAATTGAAGAGGAGAGGGAATTCTGCCACGCATCCACCTCAGCCTCTGTATTCCCCTAACGCTATTTCTCCAAGCTACCAGTGGCAGTCATTGCCTCTTTTTAAGCTTTATAATCCCATGAAAAGCAGAACCGACAGTTGAAAAATGAAACCGAGGCAAAAATTAGGCAACCAGAGTGAGGGCTTTGTTTCCAGAGACACTTGCAAAGTTTTCATTTAGCCGATATTCATTTGGAAGTGGGCTATCAACTATAGCAGTTTCTCTTATTTTTTTCAACAATTCTATATTTTTTTGACTCCACTGGTCAAATTAAGGTAAGCAACTTTCTTTTGCAAAACTAAAAATTCTCAATATGATTACATCACTTGCACCTAAAATTTTCTAAAACGTCTAATTAAGAAACTGGGACTTCATTCTTAAATGCTTTTAACCTTGATGTATTAATTTACCTTTAAATGTGTCGAGATGGTGTATTTTAACTTTTATGGCGCACAGTATTCCTTCCACCTAGTTGTTCACTTTCTCCCCTGGTTTTCATTACCTCATATAGCCTTGGCATCATCAAGAATTATGTTTTTGTGCTTCAAGCGTTAATGAAAAGCGTAAGGGTTGCAGAAATCTCTTCACATGTTCATATTGCAGGAAGGGAAAGAGGATTTGACGATATGCATAATGCTCTAGGAGGCTTAGTTCCACACTCTGACACGCCGCGCAGCTCCTGCGGGCTAGGAAAAAAATAAAACTGCGAGGCATTTGACGATACTACATACTTGTTTGAGAAACTATTATGCCGAATAGACAAATGTCTCATTTTATCTTTGGCAGTTTCCATCGCCCTATTCCTTTTCGACTATGCGGCCAAAGCACAACGGACCAGCAATTTTTGGTTGTCAAACTAGTCGGAAGAAGTACTAGAGAACTTTAATTAGTCCACTTTGGTTTTTGACAACGTCATAAATGATTGACTGCAGTAGAGCGTCCATACCGCCCATGAACCGATTCGAAAAAAATTGTTTAATGGTACATCAAGCGGTTTTCCAATGTCCAAAAGTTGAACTAGTGGAGTATAGTTTACTCTTTTGCC